GTCCAGTTGCTCAGAAAAGCTAGACGGGCCACCGGCTCGGAGTAGGGGCATCTTCCCCTGAGTTTACTCCGTCTTTCAAGCACGGTCGTTTTGTACCTACCTGCTGCTGAACAGTCAACTCTGGACTGGGTAGGAAACTTATTTTGTGCTCCAGTCCAGAAAAAAATTAAAAAGTTTGTAAGAAACAGATGATGATGATGATGATGATGATGATGATGATGATGATGATGATGATGATACTCCCTTGTGAAAATGAGTGGACAGGAAAATAAGCGGTGTTTGCAAACGTCCACTGGAGGGAGTAGCAACTCCAGAAAATAATCGGCGCTTGTGAGCAGCACACGTTATGTACTCACAGCGCCCCCTTCTGTTCCTGCCTGTCACACGCCCTCGTTTGTGGCTTAGATCGTTTAACACACCCCGTAGTATGTTGTTCAAAAGGGACTGAAAACTTCTTGCGAAGGGAGTAGGTGTCCAGGAAGGACACTTTGACAGATGATGCAGGGCCTAGAGGCCTAGAGTAGCGTTTGGAAGAACTGATATCTGAAGGAACTTTTGAAAAGGGGCCTTGGGTTGTGGAGAAATAAGAAAATAGTAAGAACAATAAGCAAAGGCGGGCAGTGAGAGCCGGCGCACGCCTTTAATCCCAGCACTCGGGAGGCAGAGCCAGGCGGATCTCTGAGTTCGAAGCCACTCTGGGCTACAGAGTGAGTTCCAGGACAGGCTCCAAAACTACACAGAGAAACCCTGTCTCAAAAAACCAAACCAAAACAAGAACCATAGCAGTTCCCATCTTTGAAGTTTCTTTTCCAGGGGACCGGGGATTGAAACCTAAAGCAAAGTCAGGCTTAAGTGTTACACGACCTTAGTCCCAGCACTCGGGAGGCCAAGGTAGGTGGATCGCTTGAGTTTGAGGCCAGCATGGTCTACATAGTGAGTTCCAGGACAGCTGGCACTAAACATAGTGAGGCCCTGCCTCAAAACAAACAATAGAAAAGAACCCTCCAGCAAACTTTTCTGCCTGCTTGATTCCCTGCCCTTTTATTGAAGCAGGGTCTTAGCGTGTTGCTCAGGCCGCTTCGGAACTCACTGTGTAGTTCTAGTTAGCTTGCAGCCCAAGGTCTTGCCTCATCCTCCAGAATTCTGGGGTCACAAGTATCACAGCCAGGCTCCAAAGTTCCTTCTGGGAAGGGAGGCTCAGGGCCTTGGCAGACAAGTAATCTCCACGGACAGCTCAGGGAATGATTGTGTGTGTATCAGCCTTAAAGATTGTGCTGGTGGCACACGCCTTTAATCCCAGCACTTGGGAGGCAGAGGCAGGTGGATCTCTGTGAGTTCAAAGCCAGTCTGATCTACAAAGTGAGTTCCAGGACAGCCTTGTTACACAGAGAAACCCTGTCTCTCTAAAAGCCTAAAAAAAAAAAGCAGTCTTGTGACTTCTTAAGAGCTAGGCACTCAAGCAGTAGAATGGAATTTCATTCAAAGGTTCGTTTCTTGTCACTAGAAATTCTGGAAACATTTAATTCTAAGAATAATAGGTGTTTTTTAGACTATTTGGCAAGTATTAATCCAGTTAGGTATAAAGAAGGAGGCAAAACCCTTGCGGTTTATTTCAGTTGTGTCTGTGTTCTTGTGTTGGAGCATATTCAGGAGGGGTCGTGTGCCATGTGAGCAATCTGTGGTCTATGTCAATCCCTGTCTACCGTAGTTTTGGGACAGACTCCCTCACTGGGCCTGGATCTTAGAGATTTGGTTAGAGTTGGATCTATGAAACTAATAATGGAAGGTGATAACTGACTCCATTGTGTCCTCTGTTCTCCACATGTATGCCGGGATAGATACACACACATTCACATACATCCTACATATACACAATCATGGTAATAATAAGATATAAGTTAAATTCATAGTTTATATTTGGATTTTGAAGGGTAAATTTTAAGTACATTTTTATTTCACTAATATTAGTAGCAAAGCTGGGGATTGAACCTAGGGCCTCAGGCATTCAGTGTTAGTGCTCTACCACGGAACTTCAGCTCTAGCCCTTTTAATTTATTTTTTGAACAGGGTCTTACTGAGGTATCCCTGCCTCTTTATTTTTAATTTATAATTTGTATTGGTGTGAGGTGAGGATCTGGTTTATTTTTCAAATAAACATTTGTCCCAGCATGTAATTTAGCAATGCTTTACTAAACCTACTTATTGAAGATGGTAGGTTTTAAAGACAGCTTTTATTAAATCTGTTCTTTGACAAATGCATGCGTGTGCTGCCTGTCTGTCCTGATCACCCCGCCCCCCCACTCTCCAGCCCCACTCAGCCCGTGCTCCTCCCTGCAGGTCCCCTCCCCTAATGCTTTGTCCCTGACTTTAGCTGGGGCCGTGGTCATCGCTGTGGTCATGGATTTGGGATTACCTAGTGAGCCTAGATGGCAGCTCTGGGGCCAGCTGAGTGACTCGGTGGGTTAAGGTGGAACTTGGGTTTTCTCTGGAGGAGGAGTGCGGTCGTCCTGTTTAGGGTTGTCATTGAAGTGATGAGACAGTCTGCACCTCCACAGCACTGTCTGTTGTGGAGGAAGTCAGGGCAGGGCCTCACACAGGGCAGGGACCTGGAGGCAGGAGCTGATGCAGAGGCCATGGAGGGGAGCTGCTTCCTGGCTTGCTCAGCCTGCTTTCCTAGAGAACCCAGGACCACCAGCCCAGGGATGGCACCACCCTCAGTGGGCTGGGCCCTTCCCTGTTAATCACTAATTAAGAAGACACTCTACATGCTTGTCCACAGCCCGTTCGTATGGAGGCATTTTCCCAACTGAGGCGCTGTCCTTTCTGATGACTCTAGCTTGTGTCAAGTTGACATAAAACTGTCCGGCACGGCAGTTAACTTTTTTTATTACGATTTATTATTTATTTATGATTGTGGGTGTGGGTGTGAGCATGTGTGTCACACAGCTTTCTTGTGGAGGTCAGAGGACAACTTGTGGGAGTCAGGAACTTTCACCATGTGAGTCCTGGGGATGAAGCTTCCGACGTGGCGGCGGCAAGTGCCTTTACTTGCAGAACCACCTTACTGGATATCTGTTTAAGATATACTATTGGAGAATTTAACCATTTTCTGTGTATGAGTGTTTGCATGTGTGTCTGTGCACCGTGTGCATGCCTGGTACCAGAGGAGGGCATCAGATTCCCTAGAACTGACGTTAGAGATGGTTATAAGCTACCATACGGGTGCTGGGAATTGAATCTGGGTCCTCTGGAAGAGCAGCCAGTGCTCTTAACTGCTGGGCCTCTCTCCAGCCCTCCTCGTACAGATGTTGCACGAATCTAAAAGGTCTTATTAATAAAATCAAACCAAAAAAAAATAGACTTTAAAAAAAAATAAAAACAAACCTGGAGCCAGGTATTGAGGTGAATGCTGGAAGATTAGAGAAGCAGAACAAGCCATAGCCACCTCACCTCGCCAATTCCTCAGCTGATCCTGTTTCCTCAGACTGGAAGCCTCTGAGTCCTCATCCAAATGGATCTCAGCTGAACTGTGCTGCTCAAAGCCTGAAAGCTTAACCAGCTCTAGTTCCTGGTCCTTACGCCTTATATACCTTTCTGCTTTCTGCCATCACTCCCTGGGATTAAAGGCGTGAGTCACCATGCTTGGCTGTATCCTTGAACACACAGAGATCCAGGTAGATCTTTGCCTCTGGAATGCTAGGATTAAAGGCGTGTGCTACCACTGCCTATCCTCTATGTTTAATATTGAGGCTGCTCTGTTCTCTGACCCCAGATAAATTTATTAGCGTGCACAATATTTCGGGGAATACAATACCACCACATTTCCCTTTTTTTGTCTAAAATTAAAAACAGCTTACAACTAATACAAGAAAAACTATATCCAATAAGTATATATAATATATACAGTCAAGAATTACATTAACATTTGACAGGTTCAGATGAAAAACTTCATTAATATATAACAATGTCCAGTTCAGTAACATTTGATAAACTCAGACAAAAATTTTCATTACTTATCCTATTTAAAACAAGTAGTTCCTTTTTAAAAGTATATTTAATAATTGACCTTTTAATCTTATCATATCCATATTCTTTTTTCTTTTCATAATAGATTCAATAATCTACCTTTTGCCATTTTTATATCTTCCCCTTTTCCTTTTTAGAGTAGATTCATTGATCTACCCATTTATCCTATTATTCCTTTATTTTTTCCCTCAGAGTAGAGTCAATGATCTGCCTCATATCTATATTCTCTTCTTTCTTTTTTCTTTTTTTAAACAAAACCTCTGAATCTAATCTCCACATTCAGCTTTTTTTTTTCTGACCATTAACAATTAACAACTTGTAACCAACCATTGTAAACAATGACAATATCCATAACTCATTAAACGATGAAAAATCACGCACCCCACCACTTGGGAATGTGGGCATCATGTTCTTAAAATTACTTCCTGCTTTCTAGGGGTGAAGACATCTTTAAGGAATCTTGAAAAGAAAATTTTTGGGTTAATTGTCAAGTCCTGTATCATTTGTCCAGTCTCTGCATAATGGGAAAGTTCAGGGCTTGTCACAAGTCCTTGTTCGAGTAGTCTGTCAGGCTGGATCATTTCAGCTAGCCATCTTAAATTGTCCTGAGCAGTTTGTAGTCCAAAGCTGATCTTTCTGTGGTGTTAATCAGCTTAATGGCTTTACCATAGTCCATGTGGAATCATCTTTGTGGGGTCTCTTCATCCTTTTGAAGATTTCAAAGTCACTGTTAGGCGTGGTCATGGTTCCCTGTAGTTTTTTTTGTGTGTGTGCCTCCTCTGTGGCTTGGAGCAATCACAGTCTGATAAATGTCAGTCCCTTGGAAGCATGAGTGTTCTTCCCTGGAAGAGAAAATCTTCACAGCAATTTCTCCCCACCATTTGTCTTGCCAAACTTTTCCAAACTGACCTTTGCCGATGCTTTCTTGTAACACGGTGGTTCTGGCAATTCTTCTCTGAACCAGCAGCAGTAAACCCTTCGTCCCAGGTAGCAGCATCACCGCAGTCACCAACACGATGAGAAGCAGTCTGTCTCCATGGTCCCACTGCTACTGTTTGTGGCCAGGTTCCGGGCCGAAACTTCTCCTTAGCCAGCCTCCTAGGTTGGCCTCAAACTCGGAATCCTCCTTTCTTTACCTTCTTCAGCAAATCTTACCGGTGTGAGCCACCACAACCAGCTCTTTGTAGCTCAGGTCTGAGCTGGGGCTCACAAGGTCACAGGCAAGCAGCTTTTTCTCGAATTCGAACCACAAACTTTGGGCGCCAGATGTAGCAGGAATCTTAAAAGTTCTTATTAATAAATCTATCTATCTATCTATCTATCTATCTATCTATCTATCTATCTATCTATCTATCTATCTATCTATCTATCAACTAGAGGCAGAGTCTCAGAGTCTCACTATGTAGCCTTGGCTGGCCTGGCACTTGCTATGTAGACTAGGCAAGCTTCAAACTCACAGAGATCCACCAGTCTCTGCCTCCCG